TTCGACACAAGCTGATAAATTTTTAAAATTAAAACAAAAACAGATTCTTTTGAAAAATAAATTACTTTTTGCTTTCACGCTCACCTAAAGATCTAATTACTACATGATACACCACCAACACACGCACAATGGACCATAAAATTGACGATCAAACATGTGAACGGTGAGTAGTTAGTGCACATGATCTAATTAACTGTAGGACTGCAAGCTTAATGACCATCGGAGAAGCCGATTGTAGATCCCATAAAATTATTCATATAATCAATAAAGTCAATTGTGATTGACTTCTGGGATAAATTCTTGTCCCATCTGGTAATACCAAAAATATGGTAAGCATATTCCCAGGCAAAAATATCTCGTCCTCCGGTCTAACAACTTATCCAACGTATCCGACAGGGAAGGGGCAGTCACCACCATATTGCAAAAGAACAGATCCCAGTTCAACATCTGGCGCATTTGTCCGAAGAACAAAAAGAAGTTTAGCATCTGACAATTTCAATACTGCTTTCACCTGTTCAAATTTACTGCTCAAATCCTCTCTCCAAGTTAGAGGTACTCTTTCACCTTTACATATCAAATCTGACAAAGTACTGTTCAGTGAGGTAGCTAGAGGTATGAACATCCTATAAAAAGAAACCATGCCTAGGAATGACAATAATGTCTGTTTTATAGTGGGAAGTGGTAGATTCAGAATAGCTTCAATCTTACTATGGTGGGTATACAAATAATTTCCATCGACAATATACCCTAGATAATTTATAGATTTATACCCAAACTTACATTGGGCTGGTTTAGCAGTAAAGTTATGAGTACATAAACAATCAAGTACCACACTGAGCACATCCTCTTCCCAAGTCTTAGCGTGAATGAAAATGTTGTCAAAATAAAATGAAACCTTATCTAACCCGCCAAGAACTATGCTCCTGAGACGAATGTGTGTGGCAAATGCAGTCACTAAACCAAAGGGTAATCTGTTAAATTCCATTAGCCCCCTATTGGTTGGAAACGCTGTTAGCTCTCTCGGTCAGTGGGATCTGGTAATATGCCTTTGTAACATCTAATCTAAGAGTACTCACAACCGGTGAATTTGTACAAGTCTTTTTCCATAGTACTTTATGGTTCAGCATTAAACTTCGGTACAGAGTTTAAAGCACGATAATCAAGAGCCATACGATAACTTCCATCTGACTTTTAAACCGTTACTTCTAGTGAGAATGTAAGGAGGAAGATAATTTTATAATCCCTTGTTATCAACTTCAGCTTCAAAATATGGTTGCAGATTTATTGGAATTGGGTAGACTTTAGACTTTGTTCTGTACCTTGAATTTCTATATCAAGCTCTATGGTAGTTGTACAACCAGGTTTTTCAGAAAAAAATGTAAGCTTTGTGTTCATTGGGTAGATTAGAATAAATATTAGGCTTATTGGCTAAATCTGAATTCAAAAGGCCATCTGTAGTAACAAGAAAATCATTTTGTGAATTTAGATCACTCAATACATATTTCTGAACAATCATGGGGTTATCTACATTACCTAGCTTAGAAACTTCATCAATGACATTAGGCTGATCTTGGGATCTCCTATGACATTTCTTCAAAAGATAAACATGATACAACTTGGGTTTTTCATGTTCATCTACAAGGTAATTTACCGGCATTCCAGTATTTTAAAGGCCATGAGAAGTTTACTGGTGTTATCAGGTCAGAGCACACGAACTTCACCATGCTGAAAATTTCTATATGAGACTTTAAATTAAAGTAACATCTAAATTTAGCTGAACTTACCTCACTATTCTGAGCTGCATTTCTAGCACAACTCTCTAATTTAGTTTTTAATTCTTTTATATATTACACAAATCTCTGACTGACATTCCATACAGCAATTCAAATGCTGAAAACCCAGTTCTATTGTTTGGACAAACATAGTTGGAACTAAATAACGATGTCATTCTTGAGTTTTATCAGAGCACATTTTCCTAAGCAAAGCTTTTAAAATAGCATGACAATCCGGCCCTTGACCATTGGGTGATAAGGAGTGGTAAATAACGGTTTAACACCCAACTGTTAAGTTGGTTCTGTTAAAAATTGGCATTTGTTTCAGTGGTACTGGTCACATCCACCCCTAAGCAGATATCCTTTGACATTTGTCACATGACTTGCAGTAATCTCTTATCTCAGTTCCCATGTTTAGCCAATAAAAAATATGTTTAACCCTCATTTCAGTTTTGAGATAAGAAAAATGTCCAGCAAGAGGGCTTTCATGAGCAACTGAAAGAATTGTCTGCCTATATTTAACTGGAACAACTAGAGAAGACTTTCCAGTTCTTTGACTGCAATTCGAGTACACACAAACACGATAAATCAAGCAATTGCGTTCTGCAAACTTGAGCTCTGTACCATCTCGCACTCTATCTAGCTCTTCTGAACTTGTTTTTTCTCTAATCTTTAAAAGAGAGAGACAGTTGGACTGTAACTTTGCAAATTCGTGGGGAGTTACTTTCAGGGGTTCTGTTTCAGGCAATTTCAAGGGTATTTTTAAGGCAACGATATGCCCCATTTCTCCATACCCATGACAAATTATACTTGAAAATTCCCTTTTTATAGCTGGTTGCTCATAAGTCATAGATTTTGTAGCAATAATTCTCTTACCTTTATCAGGTCCAGGAATGTCCTTTGGCATGCACGTTGTGTTCTTTGACATAAACACGGAGCTCTGGGAAATGTGAAACCATCGGTTGATCTAATAGCACGAAGTCTCTTAACGTCTTATAATTCGTCTCAACGTTACATAATTCAATCCAGTAATCAAAATATCTACCCAACCGTTTCCCCACTTTTAATCTTTGCAATACTGAAATCATTGAGGTAACTAGCAGGAGTTTTGCTCTCAAAAGTGCCTTTTCAATTGCTCATTGTCGGATGTTACTTCAGCTGGCAAGGAAGTATAGATTTCTACAGACTTTCCTGCTAAGAGACTTCCGAGTTTGATAGCATAACTTTCTTAATTAACTTCTAACTTGCAACACGTTCAAATTTAATAAGTTACGAGGTTATGTCTTCCCCATCTTTATGAAGAGTTATGCTAGATCGAGCAGCATTACCAAAGTTAATTACTCAATCAAGCCATTTCCATTTTATGTTCAAGTCGAGTGCGCTCTCCTTCAGCTTCTAATTTAACTTGCTCCCTCTCAGCTTCAACCTTTGTCTGTTGAAGTTCGCTATCTTTGGCCCTTTCTTCTCGTGCAACTGTTTGTTGTCTAATATGTTGAGCAACATCATTTCCTTGTAGACCTAAAGCTTCAGCTTGGTCTTTTAATACCTCAAATGTAAATTCAGACATTGTCAACAGAGGAGCATCCGCTCGCACCAAGGACAAAAATGTTAATCTGAACAGACCTAACTCACCATCAGAACAACAGGATTACTAGGGTTCCATCTTCCCCTTAAGAAAATAAAGAATACCACCTCCAACTCATACCAGCAGTCCAAAAGGTGGTTCACTTCCGGGCCCCAAGGACAGAGAACCATGTAGAGGAAAACTTCCCGAAAACTCACACAAAATGCCTATACTATTCCAAGCTCACATTAATAAAAAAAAATCTCTCTCTCTCTCTCTCTCGCTATATATATATATATATATATATATATGTATGTATGTATGTATATGTGTGTGTGTGCGTGTGTGCGTGTGTGCGTGTGTGTGTATGTGTGTATATGTGTGTGTGTGTGTGTGTTTGTATGTTGCGTAAATATATATGTATGTATGTATATATATATATATGTGTGTGTGTGTGTGTGTATTGTGTATATATATACACATATATATATATATACACACAATAGATATATATATATATATATATTCGTGTGTGTATGTGTGTATACGTATATAGACACACACACATACACACACACACACACACACACACACACACACACACACACACACACACACACACACACACACACACACACACACACGTATATATATATATATATATATATATATATATATATATATATGTACATATATATACTATGTATATATATACATATATATACATATATAGATAGATAAATAGATAGAAATAAATATAATTCCGCAACTGTATGTGTATATATATGTCAGTACGCATGCTGGGCTTCGTTTTTGTACATCTGGCAACCACGTTGATGTAAACATAGCGTAAATAGTATTTTTTATGAATGAGGCGAAAACCCTAGGTTATTTGTAACAAAGAGCGTGATTGGTAGTACATAAATAGCCAGTAAGTGTATTAGTCTATATCATTAGAAACGAAACAAGCTATATGTTTTTTTTTTTGTTTGTTTGTTTTTTAATAACTGGTAGCAAAATGTGCAGCATTAATTATCGTTGGCTTTGCATGGAATATTTTTTCAAATGCGACTTCTCGGAATTGTTTTCGAAATGGCAACACCTGTGGAGGAAAGGCGGCATTCCGCCACTATTTGAACAGAACAATTGACAATGATATTTGCATATTTCTTAAATATAGAAAACGCATCATACTTCAAATATCTATGCAGCTAAATCAAATAGAAATCTGCAAATTCGCAGAGAAGTTAGCAAGTGCTTCTTGAAGCTGCACCATCTAGAAGCAGCTGATCGAACTAATGAAGTGAGTTTTCTTTTCACCGAAACAAAATTCTTTTTCAATAAAAAGAAAACATACTACTTTATATTCTCCATTATAGAACATCACATGAACGCAAAACCGCAGTATGAGTATGGAGAATATAAAGACGCTCATTGTGTGTGCATCGTATGTGTGTGCGTGTGCGTGCGTGATTCCTGAATATCTATCTCGCTGTTAACCCATGTATATGTTACATGAAAAAAAGTGTATTGTTGACAGTATAACGTCATTATGAAATATGGGAAATCCGTGAAAACGAGGTTGCCTGTGAACGGCTTACCTGACACTCTTGAATGATGAACGCAAGGCAAACTAAAATTGCGAATCGTGGTTGTATCACTGGATGAGAGAAAGTGGTCTCTCGCCTAGTGAAATTTCCAGGGCGTTGGGTATCTCCCGGTCTATTATTTACAAGTGGACAAAGTGGTGGGAGGAGGAGGGCACCCTGAACAATCGCCCTCGCTCCGGTGCTCCACGAAAGGCAACCGAAGATCAAGATGCTCAGATCAGGGAGATGGTGGAGGCGAACACCTTCACCAATGCAGTTGAAGTTCAAAAACTGTTCGACTTGTTACTGGGAGTTACAGTGACCAAAGGATTGCATGCAGATGGTATTAATCATCGAACACGAGCGACCAAAGGGAGGTTGACCGAACGTCATCGCCAAGGTCGCCTCCAATTCGCCCAGCAGTATGTAGACTATGACCCGGATTACTGGCGATGGGTAATCTGGAGTGATGAAAAAATACTTTGTTCCACCGCGCACGGAAAGCTCCAGTGCTGGAGGAGAGATAACACTTGATGTGCAAATTACTTTTTACCTCTTTAATTTCTTTACTGTATTATGATACATGTAAAAGATCACTGTCTATAGATTACTGCTGTATGCACAGTAATATCTTATATTCTAATATCTCATTCTATATTTTCCAGACATGATAGACAAAACATCTACGAAACTACGAGGAGTGGCCACGTGATATGTGAGGGGTGAACATTCCTGCATGGTGTTGACGAACTAGCAGAAATAGAGGGCAGATTCAATTCGGAGAAATATATCGTATCAGAAGTGTTTCTCCCGTCAGTACGCAGTTATGCCTTGCCTTTCCCAGAAACGATCGTATTCATGTAGGATAACTGCCCAGTACACACGTCGATACGAGATACGAAATTTTTTCGTGAGCAAAACCACCTCGAGGTCCTACCCTGGCCAAGCAAGGAATGTGACTTAACCCAATCGAAAACGTCTGGGCAAATATAGTCAATGTCTGCGATATTCTTTCATTTGCCGCTTCTCAAAGTTAATAGAACATGTAAAGAGGGAATGGGAAGTACTACGTAGGAAACCTCCGTCCCGCAGACTACGAGTTGTAGAAAATAACGGTGTTTGGACAAGGTTTTAATAAAAATGAATTATTCCAGTCAGTATGACTTTCTCAAATATTTGCCTTTTCTACATATTTCTGCTCTTCTTTAACAGTAAAAAGACAACTAAATATCTTTTTAAAAATTAGTTCTACCAACTAGTCATTTCATACAGAGCAAGAAAGTATTTCAATAAACAACTGCATGTTATTTTTCGCTGAACGTGGTTCAAAAAGTTTGAAATGCAAAACTATAATTCTAAATCGCTATGCATAGTAGTACTCAAATAACGAACATGACGTACAGGCACATTAAAAATGGTCAGCGTCTCTAATTTCTCAACACGCATACATGCTCACAATGATGAACCCCCTATAAATTCACTGTATTCCTGTGATTTTGCGTACAGTTGGTACAGCTGGAAATGTGTCAGA